CTGGGAAAACACATAGTAATACTAATCAGTGAGTACTATGATGGGAATTTACAGTGATTCAATATCTATGAAGGTTTCCTGGCTATGAAATGTTCTCAGACAGAAGGTTGTCGCCCTGACCATTGTCAGACAATTATCATATCTGTTAGGGTTGTAATTAACATGCTGTGCTTCCCCTTCTGTCTGCCCCCCACCCTTATTGGGACTGTAATGTGGATTCCCTAGCTGGGACCCCCCCCCCCCCCTTTTGTCTCCTCTGTATAAATAACATTGCATTTATGTGTAACAGGGTCAGATTTCTTAACCCTTCTGTGTGTGTGTGTGTGTGTGTGTGTGTGTGTGTGTGTGTGTGTGTGTGTGTGTGTGTGTGTGTGTGTGTGTGTGTGTGTGTGTGTGTGTGTGTGTTCACGCACATAGTTGGCAATGCAAAATTGTGGAATGTCACCTCAGGCTCCTCTATCTCAGGGGCCTCTCCCTCCTCTCTCTCAGGGGCCTCTCCCTCAGGGGCCTCTCCCTCCTCTCTCTCAGGGGCCTCTCCCTCAGGGGCCTCTCCCTCAGGTGCCTCTTCCTGGTCTGTTGTAGGCTCATAGTCTGGATAACTGTTGTCTTCCATTTCTGAGACATCTTCCTCTATCTCCTCTTCATCTGGTTCAATCTCCTCTTCATCTGGTTAAAAAAATGTGACCAGAGCCCCTCGTACAGAAAATCGCCTAATCGGTCGCCTGCTCATTGTGTCAATGAGTCAAATGTGAGCAAGGCACAAATATAACTGCTTGAGAGCCAGTAAGGGAGGCGCATTTAGCTCGAGAAAGTGAGAGGTTTGTGTTTCTCGAGGGGCACAGAGCTGCACCTGTGAGAAGTTATGATACATTGTATCATACAGCGCGAGAAAGGGAGAGGTTCCCGTAACGTGTGTATAGATGTTTTCCATCTGCAGGATGAACATAATACACTCAAACCCATTCATTTTCTATGGCGGTCAAATCTGACCAAAAACGTCAAGGGTGTTTCACTGTTGAATAAATCACTCAACATTCAATGCAAGTGGTGATCATCAAGTGTATATGTTCAGAGGCCTAGTGTGGAGGATAACATAAGGTATTGAGGCAATTGGATGAAAAACACAATATTTATGATTAAAATAAAAGTCATTTGGTCACTTTTGACCCGAAACGCAAGAGAAGGGTTAAGCACACATTGGTGTATGGTTATCTGTCCTTTCCAGCAGGAAATATGATTTATTCTGTTAAATGCTATAACTCTATAACACCACTTTGGTTTAAGCTTGTATATTTGTTATTTTCTTACCAGAACGTGATTAAGTGTGGAATTTCCACCACAAGCACTAACGAATACAAAATACTACTAAGGTCCGTCCTTCCTGCAGCATCAGACTTTACAATCACCCTGGTAGACGCCCCACACATATAACAACAAATACTATAACACCCCTGTTGCGAAATACTTCTTATCTGCAATATAAATAGTATTTATAAGTATTATATATGTAATGGCTACCCTTAGTTAGATCATTCAATTAGTCTTCTGCAATAAATATGTATTTGTGCAATATTTACTTGAACCTTTATACTCTCACCTGGCTGCTAGCTCACAAAAGTTACTGGTACTGGATGTGTATTTTGTAAATGTTGTAACTTCTACTTGTATCTTTAATATTTATATGCATGCCTCTTATTTAATATCAAGCTTTCTTTGGCTCTTTACTTGCTGTAACAATGTAAATCTCCTCTCTGTGGGACGAATAAAGGTATTCTGATGGTGATTCTGAATAAGCATATTTAAGATGTGTGTAATCATACCTCTTGTCAAAGCTGTCAGGAGGTCTCAGCTCAGTAGTCAGGGAGCTGCCGTCCAGAGTGACCACATACAGTCTGACAGTGGGGTTGATTTGTCCCATCTGCAGGGAGAACAATACAAACGTGCAATTACATTCAAAGGCCTAATCACAATGGATGCAATACCCATGATGCACTGCATCCACTGTAGCGATAACAATAAGCACTGAGCAACACTTCTCTATTCTACACGCTGTTGTCTATTTTTATATGCAGCAACTGAACAATGGCAGAATGGGCTTCAACAGAGAATATAATGAGAATATGAAAGAGAGAACAAACTGAGCTGTTGTTTAGTGCACAGGCCCTGGGGCAAGTCAGTTGTTTTCCTTCGCTTAAGCCTTCCTCAAAAATAGAGCTCATTACTCTACATGACAGGGGACATCTCAGAAAAACAGCATAAACTGTCGCACAATGACAGTATCTATTCCAAACCCTACTCGCTTATTTGTATTGGTTATTGTTAGTGTCTTCTTCGATCCTTTCCGTTCTTTTGGAGGTATAATAACTTTTTAGAATAGCTCTATTTTGTTCAGCTGCACCTCTTTGACAAGTAAACACATCTAAAACCGCTTAAAGTGATGTTAAATGAGAGGATGAATGGCTATCCTTCCCCTGCATTCTAACACAGTGCCACTACCATCTGTATACATGCAACCATTAAAGATACTGGCCGTTTCTCAATCTCGAGGATACTGGCTTCCAAGCCAATATTTCAAGGATGCTACGTCATCGAGTGCCGCCGAAGGACTGTTCCAATCTCCAGCATACTTGAAATTCCACCGAGGCCGCGTCCTTGGTTTGGGGGAAATTTCGAGGTGGCACATGGGTAGACTTCGCGTCCTTAAAATCCCCACAATGCTTTGCGCACAGACCAATTTCAAAAACCCTTGCGGAGAATGGCTGAACCGACGCAGCACACATTTAAATGTAAGTATGTAGTGGCGTAGAACATGTGTTGGTAAATATGTTACTTTGTTACATTGTTTGTTATCACCAAACATGTGTTCCGTGAAAGTAAAGCAAGTTCATAATTACATAGACATCGTGAGGTATTTACTTTCGGTACAGTTTATGTTGAAACCGAGAGTGGCACACTTGTTAGCCTGTTCCATTCTTCTTCGTTTTCCGAAGCCGTGGCTTGGAAGCATACTTGCTTCGTTTCTGAAGGAAGTGACTTGGAAGTACGCGACTACCAAGCCAGCATCCTCGCGATTGAGAAACACCCACTGTATGGATGAGCTTTTAATACCTTTCCAGGATTACATGTTTGGTACATGCTCATTTTGGCACGTTTAATTTTTGTTCTACTAATCATAGTTAACAAATTAAAGTTTAAAAGTCTCAAAAATGCTACAACTACTGTCACAAACTGGATGAATGTGAATTATTTTGTTAAAGGAGGAGGAAAGCGTAATTAAGGAGCACTTAAGGAGTGACTTTGATGGTTATTGGACTCAGGATTAATTCATTTGGATTCCCGCTGTATGAAGAAATTAAAGGACAGCGCAAGTGGAAACAATTCACAAAGGGATTAAACTGTTTAAAACACATTCTCAAAGTAAGCCGGATTTTGCCGATGTGTTTATGTGGATTCAAAAATCGTAAATAATCTACAAAATGGAGGAGACCGATCTGATTGGAGCAACTGTGACAAATAATCCAACTGAGACCGGCATGGACAATGACTATGTTTTAAAAATGCGCTTATCCAGACAAGCCTGGTTTGGACACTTTACGGGCAGAAGAAACATTTCTATTAAAGAAAGAATTATACATTTCTGTCTTTTTATGCCTTTAATAGCTAACTTGAATTGTTATTCAAATTAATTAATCAATTATTTTTTATATTTTATTGTAATGTAGAGACAAGGCTTTTAGTGACAATCATGTATTGCTTTACAATTATATGTAAACACATTTCTTTTTTTTAAAAGTCTAAATATGATATTTGGCCTCAAATCATCTGAGGCCTGGCTCCCCCCCTGCGATCTTTGGCGCCCCCAAGGGGAGCGCGCCCCCCAGGTTGGGAACCACTGCTGTGAAACATGGGTGGGGAACCTTTTTCCTCTCAAGGGCCATTTCAATTGTTTCAACATCCTCCAAGGGCCGTACAAATGATTGACCTCTGCTTAAAAATACTAAAATCACAGCCCATTCATTTGGCCTTTCTTTCAGGCTGTGCAAAGAAAAAGCAACCTCTTTGTCACGATCTGTCTGTGTTGCGTTTTTGTCATGTCTAGTTCTGTCTTTGGTTTCCTGTCTCTAGAGGCTTCTCAATACTCAAATTTCCCCTCCTCGACTCCTCGACTCCTCGGTCCTCCGGTAGTGACCCGGAAATGAATTTCAGCGCGCCATTGTGAAGGACGTCTCATTTCTCTAAATGCACACCGAGGACCGAGCATCGAGCGTCGAGGAGGCTCTCTGGAGGAGCTATAACCGAGGATACACTGATGGTTCCTCCACGGCTCCTCCACGGATGCATTTCCGGGAACGGTGGAGGCGTGACGCACGGCCGGACTTATCTCAGCCAATGACAGCTATGCATGCATCCCCTGGATATTATTTTAGAAACTGCTTTCATCGTGTCGCGATGTTTCCAGAGAGAACAGCTGTAAGGTCCGTGCAGAAAGCAGAGCAGTGTGTATAATATATATCACTCAGTATAACAGGCCTACTCTCTTTATTTGTTTTAGTTTAGTAGATATCTACGAACAAAGAGTCGATATTTTTCTAAGACCATTGCTTCACATAATAAAATACACAACGGCTTATGCTTTAGGAGCTGTAGGTGTGTGTGGTACAGTGCGTAAATGTCTCAGTTGGTTTGGTGTCTGCTTACTTTTAATAGGCCTACTTGTAAATACAACTTTTGGCCCGTAATTTCAATTCCCCATTTCAGCGACCAGAGAGAGAGGGGGGGGGGGGGGAAATATCCAGTCTCTGATTGTGTTACGTTATTATGAGAGTGCTCTCATACTTTAAATTGTATATATTTATATAAATATATTTGTGTGTGTGTGTCCGCATCTGTAGCCTGTTATTGTCTCATTATACCGCACTCTCAATGAATTCAAAGTAAATATGTGGGGGAACAATGTTCAGCTGATCTAACAGAGATACAGCGCTATGACAAAACACTCGACAGCTGATGCAGCTGTTGCCACGTAATAATGAACGGACGTCTCTTTAAAATGACCGCTCAGAGGAGAGGAGTTCTCATTTCTTTAAACGTCTGCTGCTTCCCCTCCTCTAATAATTATAATAATTAATAATTAATAATAATAATAATAATAATTAATAATAATAATAATAATTCCTTACATTTATTATAGCGCTTTATCAATGACTCAAAGCGCTTTACATATACACACATTACACATATATGATAGATGCAATGGTCAGATACTGTGGACAATACCCACAGGAGCAAGTTCAGGTGAAGTGTCTTGCCCAAGGACACACCGGCTTTACAGACGCAGCAGCGGCGGGTTTCACCCCTTGATCTGATGATCATTGCACAGCGCACTGCGCCACACCGTCCATCTTCACGCCTCGAAGACATCGAGGCGCTTTTACAGGTACACATTGGCAGGGGCGGACTGGCCACCGGGAGTTTCCCCGGTGGGCCGGTGCTGTGTGTGGGCCGGAGGGCCAAAAAAAAATTAAATAAAAGTTTATAAAAAAGAAAAAAAAATAATATTTTTGTATGCCTAAATCCTACCGGCCCACATTTGTAAGTGTTCCGGCCACTCCCTTTTTTTTTTGTGCTTACCTAAATCCTACCGGCCCACATTTGTAAGTGTTCCGGCCCAGCCCAGCCCAGTGGGGTGTGGCCAGGGTTGGGTTGTAACGGAATACATGTAACGGTGTTACGTAATCAGAATACAAAAATCAAGTAACTGTATTCAGCTCGCGTTACATTTGAAAAACGAGTAATCTGATTACTGTTACTTTCGTAAACCTGAAGTGAATACATTTTGGATTACTTATTGGAATTATTGGTGGAAAGATTTCCTCACAACATTTCATATTCATTACTAAAGGTACAGCCGAATCATCACAGCGCACAAAACCACGCAGATGGACCAAAAAGGGGAGCGTTTGAAAAAAATGTGTGGGTCCGCTCAGTGAAACAATAACAACGTAACATGGAGGAACAAAAGTCTGCGTTTAAATCGTGTGTGTATGTGTAGAGGTGTGTGTGGTTAAAACACATCAGCCACACCGCTCTTTAGCCTTTCTAATGATTCTGAAGGTAAACACAGTGAAAGGCGGTGCGTGAAAGGCGGTGCGTGAAAGGCACTGCGCGCTCCTCTTCTCAGAGGCTGAGTTAACCCTCCCGCTGCCTCCTGGTGCTGCAGAGATTTCATGAAGTGAAGGAGGTTTTCCTTCTATAAAACAGCTGCGGGCAGCAGATACTGTGAGGGTCACAGACATGAATACATAGATCAAGGCAGACTGGTGCACACACTCTCCTCTTTTGCCAATCCGGTGCTTAAACAAATATAGCTCTACACCCCTGGCCGAAATGTCCTTAAAATGAATTCCGAGTTCGACATTTTAATTCATGTCCTGCCAACACTGGCAGGACAGAAGGCGACACGCCCTTTCTAAGCCATGTCCTCACATCCCAAGCTGCATCCCCAAAAAGTTTATTATGTTGTTACAACAGGGTTCAGGGGGAGTGGCTGTACGGCTGTACCCGTAGGATAGAAAAGGGGGAAGTGACGTCTGACTCAGAGGTCGCGCGGCTGTGGAGAAGAACGTGTTGCCCACATTCTGTTACTGAGTTTAGGCTAGTTAGCTAGCAGGTTTATTGTTTTGGGTGCAGTCACTTTTGCCTCCACTTGCTGTTCAAATAAATGTTGAATGAAAAAGTTAATCTGTTTACAGTTCTGTTTTATATGGGTGAAGAAGGAAGAAGAAGAAGAAGAAAGAAGAAGGAAGAAGAAGAAGAGAAGAAGAAGAAAGAAGAAGAAGGAAGAAGAAGGAAGAAGAAGAGAGAAGAAGGAAGAAGAAGGAAGAAGAAGAAGAAGAAGAAGAAGAAGAAGAAGAAGAA